GCCGCCGTCCTGCGAGCGTCTCTTGTCGCTTCTCCTCGCCCCCCCGCTCCCCCTGCGATGCTGGTCTTCGTGGTGTTGTTTTCTATCTTTTTCCTCCTCGTCTTTCTCTCTGACCTCCCTTCGCCGCCGTCCTCTCTCTCTGCTCTCCCCCCGCGCGTGCTTTTTCGCTTCCCCTCTTTCCTCTCGTCTCCTGTCTGTCTCTGTGTCTGTGTCTGCGTGTGTGTGTGTGTGCCTCTTCGTTTTGTGTTTGTTTGTTTGTTTGATTGTATGTGTGTGTGTGTGTGCGTGCGCGCGCCCGCGCGCGCGTGCGCGTATATATATATATATATATATAAATATATAAAAAAATATAAATAAATATATATATAAATATATATAAATAAAAAAATAAAAAAAAAAAAAAAAAATAAATATATATATATATATATATATATATATATATATATATATATATATATATATATATATATATATATATATATAAACTTTGGAATTTAATTTTTTGAATTTAATATTTTTATTAAGAAATATTAATTTTTATTAATAATATTATTATTTCAAATAAATTTTTAAATGGTCGTTACAATATGGTCGTTCGAATTTGCTCGTTGAAATATAGTTGTTTAATTTAATTTAAACTAAAAATTTAATTTAAACTAAAATTTTCTAAATAAATAAAATATAATAATTGTGTAAAATATAAACAATATTGTTGGAGTGTGAGGTTAAAAGTGATGGTGTATAACACTGTTCGTCTCTTAAATTATAGATATAGACAACCAATTTTTGAACAACTGTTGGAGATGGCCTAAGGTGATGGTGTGTTAAAATATAAACAACCATTGCTGGAGTGAGTCAGAAAAAGTGGTGTGCTAAAACACTGCTAAAAAAAAGTGGTGTGCTAAAACCCTTGTGTAATAGATTATGGGTTCCTATATATAACTATATATATAATTAATATATGTGAGAGACATTATTCTCTCTTTCTCCAACTATATTTCTCCTATAAATACATTTCACAACTCATTCTTGTACTCAAAGTCATCAAAAATTGGATTCCGTAAGTAGTGGCGAGTCCTTGAAAAAAAAATGGACCTCTTTTTTTTTTTTTTTTTTTTTTTTTTGGATAAATTAGGAAGAGATAAAAAGAGAGTAGTTTTTTGCATAATGGCTGCAGATATTTGCAAGACGAAAATTACTAAGTGCAAGACCTTACTTCATGCAAGACCAAAATATAAATAAATTTACTAAGATCAAGACTGGAAATTACAAATATAACCCCAATAATAATTTAGATATTATTAATTTAAATTAAGTTAATTGCTATTGCAAGACCAAAAAAAAAATACAAAAAAAAAAATAAAAAAAAAAAAAGAAAAAAGAGAGGGAACTCACTCACCCAACAAAACACCAACATCTTCTTCTTCACCCTCATTTTACACATTTTTTTCCACAAAAAAATCTTCCATATTCTCCACCACCCTTATCACATAAAACCCTCAAATCTTACTAAAACTTGAAAAGAAGGACATTATGGATACACAAGACATATATATGGAGGATTCTAAGGTCG